ATGTTTTGAGTCGATACATTTTCTCAACATTCGAAATTTTTCCATCCTCATGGATAAGCCTTTTATATAGATCATGAAAAGACGACCATTCTTCAATATTACCGTTGAAATTTGGGATTCTAATGCAGTCAAACTTAACGTTGTTCCCCTCACGTAATTTTTCCATTTTATTGGCTAATTCATCTAACGCCTTATCGTATTGGTCTTCAATCTCATCATAATCATTCATAATGTTTACTTCATTGTACGACATTTCAATAACCAGCTTCTTATAGATACTTCTAATGTCTTCGAACTTTCTTTTCCAGATTCCATTAAGTTGTTCCAATCGCGTGACAGTATCATAATGGTCAAGATTTTCTAACATCTGTCTTAACCTTGCGATGTTATTGTTATATTGCTCTACTAGATTGTTGATTTTATTTTTCTCAATCAATTCTATCTTTGCTTTCAACTATTTCTTCGAGCATTGTTTTCACCTGAATCACTTTTTGATGCACTGTAGTGTAAAAGTCCTCTTTAAAATATTTGTCTTCCTTATTCTCCGTTAAGAGTATTTTCTCGTGATTATCTTTAAATTGATTCCATAATCCTTGTAGTTTATCTAAACGTTCTTTTATTGTATTCGCACGCAACTCACGTTTGCTGCTATTCTTATCGATATTCTTAACATCGTCATATATTGCTTTTTGCTGTTTTAGCAGAGCTAATAATTTTGATGGATCCATTTTCTTTTTACCGTACCGATATTTAAATCTCGATCAATGCTTTTTGCACTATATTTAAAATTTTGGCACCGATGTTTAAGCCTCGGCCCACGCTTGTATCTTTTAGCACTGCACTATATATTTAGTTTATGGCACCGATGTTTAAGCCTCGGTCCACGCTTGTATCTTTTAGCACTGCACTATATATTTAGTTTATGGCACCGATGTTTAAGCCTCGGTCCACGCTTGTATCGTACTGTACTCAATTTCACTTTATGTCTCGAAGGACCAAAATGTACATTTAACAAATTAAAGTACACACACCTTCAGTAATTTTAAACTACTAACTTTATTTTATTTCTAGTACATGTATTTATACAATTATTTTATCATAAAACTAAGTGTTAAATTTGTTATCGCTACGTTGTGGACTGTATATTAGCTAGTGGACTGTATACTTAGGCGCATGTGTGTCTAAGATAAAAAAGGTTACAATCTTTGTTATTGATACACATGCGCGTTATCATTTTACATTTGTGCACAGCTTGTGCTATAATCATTAAACATTGAAAAACAATAAAATTTTATCTTTAAAGCATTTAAGTAAACAATAGAAATTTTCTGGAATATTCAAATAATTAATACAGTCCTTTACAAATAGTATTTAGCGGATAACATTTTTGCTTACATATACAGATTAAAAACTTATCTTCTAAAATAATAATAAATCTTAAAAATAAACTATAAAATGTGTTCATGTTTGAACAACTTGTGTAGTATATTACAATAGGGTGGCTCAAAAAAACTAAAATACGATTTTTAATGAGCGCACCCCCTAGGAATATGCCATTAACCAAAAAAATGATATTCCCAAAGTTATGGAACAATAGGATTAAAAATGACGTTGCGCCACTCGAGCAAAGTTGGGTTTTCAGTACAAAAAACAGAAATTTTTCAATTCAAGGTCATTTTTTATCTTTGTTACTTGTTTCAACAGTTATTAATATATACTCATTTGATAGATAATTAAAATATCTCTTTAATAAGATACGGATGAGCAAAATCGGTTAAAAATTATGCGCAAAACACAATAATTAGTTGAGCGACTGTGCTCTGTTTTCTATTTCATAACTTTTAGATGGCATGCACAATTACGTAATAGGTATATGCTACGATTTAGTTAATGATTTATAAAAAATTATAACTTCAAGAAAACTTTTTTTTTCAGTAATTAATATATTGTGTTTATTATGTTTTATAACATAAAACTGACTATGTGAAGGACAATTTTTATGATAATGTTCGACTACTTGCAGAACATATTGTTTTTCCTCTTCATATTTTGTCAAAATCGAATTATAATCCATCATAAGCCTAATTCCTCTTTCTATACAATCATTTATCATATGAAGTCTGGCACAGAATTCAAGTGCATCTCTATAATCTTGCGTCTCCATCCATGGCGAAGGATCGAAACTGATAAAACTATTAGATAGGCAAAAACGATCCAAGAAATTTGTTATTTCGTCAGTCACAAAATCAATAAGGTTCTTTGAGAAAAATAACTTCATTAGTGGGTTCCCACTCTTTATCTAACCAGAGATAGCTGAGAGCTTGGATCTATGACCGGTAACTCTACAGTTACTATCTGTGCAGATGGCTCAAAGATGGAAAGCGGTACGGGAGCAGGTATCTTCTCGAAAGATATGCAGATAAGACAGTGCTACCGAATCCCTGCTACTTACAGCGTCTTTCACGGCGAGATATACGCTATCGAAAAAGAGGCCAACAATAGACAAAAAAGTACAATTCGTCCTTCGAATATCACAATTTTTGTAGATAGGCCGCACTGAAAGCAATTGAATTTAAATTCCAAGATAGTATTAAAATGTCGCGATTCACTGATGGGCATCAAACATCATAAGGTCTCTCTTTGCTGGACATAATACATTTCGAATACTTCTACATAGAAATATTGAAGGGAACGAACTAGCAGATGAGATGGCCAAAAGAGGTTCTGAACTGCATACAGAAGAGGCCGACCTCTCAATACATACACCGATATGTAAACTGTATAGGATAATAGAGGAAATCAATACGGTGACTAACAATTTATAAACTAACCGCGAAGACTGTAAGGTCGCTAGAATCTTATGGCCTAAGTTGGACAAAAATAAAACGAAAAGCATTTTAGGCTTCAACAAACCTGCAGTTCGTGTGCTTTCTGGAGTACTAAAGGGGCACTGTGCCATTGCGCCGATGCTCCAACGGTTGCGAGTTCCAACAAGTGGATTATGCAGAAGTTGCTAAGATGAAGAGGAGGTAAAATCTATCAACCACTTCCTGCATCTCTGTCAAGGACTTCAAACAAGGCTACGTCTTGCGGATCCTTATTTTACTGGCGTAGAAGAGATAACGAAAGCAAACTTATCGGATCTCCTCAACTTCATCTGGAAAGCCAAATGGTTTAACAAGGATAACAAAGATTAGCAACTCGCATCTCCTGGTAAAATTTTTTGAGGGCATCCCAATGGGCAACATATGTCTCCGAGTAGAAGTGCTGACAACTGTCAGCCTTCCGAACATAACCTTACCTAGTATGGGTTAAAATTTTCACACATATGCTCACCATAAAAATGTATATATCTCGTACAAATCATCCGAGTTATATGTAAATTGATCTCTTAAAATAAACATTTTTAGTAAGTACATGATTTCGCCATCCATCGAGAATCTTAGATGGCACCTAAGTGCCATAGGTAACCACTACAAAATATGTATAGCGTAGCGATCCGAAACCTTGCATTTGTCCAGGGCGGTAACTAAAATAGGAGTGATAAATTGAATCGTTCTGTCTGCGTTATCCCAATTTTGTTGAACTGTGACTAAAGATTCAGCTTCCATTTTGAGACAAATTTCTTCATCGAATTCATTCTAATTAAAATCAATGAAACTTTCAGCCGCTCTTGCTTCGTTTGCTAAAAGGATATTAACTTCAGTCATATTCCCTGTACGACCATTTTCTCTTTACTTACCAAATAATTCTTGTTTTGACTACGTTTTCAATTCTACTTATATGTCTATATAAATTATTAAGTAGAAATGTATTATTTTTATTTTTTATTTATGTTTCTTCCGTTTCTTGTAAACATTTGCGATTGCATTGTGCATGCCATCTAAAAGTTATGAAATAGAAAACAGAGCACAGTCGCTCAACTAATTATTGTGTTTTGCGCATAATTTTTAACCGATTTTGCTCATCAGTATCTTATTAAAGAGATATTTTAATTATCTATCAAATGAGTACATATTAATAACTGTTGAAACAAGTAACAAAGATAAAAAATGACCTTGAATTGAAAAATTTCTGTTTTTTGTACTGAAAACCCAACTTTGCTCGAGTGGCGCAACGTCATTTGTAATCCTATTGCTCCATAACTTTGGGAATATCATTTTTTTGGTCAATGGCATATTCCTAGGGGGTGCGCTCATTAAAAATCGCATTTTAGTTTTTTTGAGCCACCCTATTGTAATATACTACACAAGTTGTTCAAACATGAACACATTTTATAGTTTATTTTTAAGATTTATTATTATTTTAGAAGATAAGTTTTTAATCTGTATATGTAAGCAAAAATGTTATCCGCTAAATACTATTTGTAAAGGACTGTATTAATTATTTGAATATTCCAGAAAATTTCTATTGTTTACTTAAATGCTTTAAAGATAAAATTTTATTGTTTTTCAATGTTTAATGATTATAGCACAAGCTGTGCACAAATGTAAAATGATAACGCGCATGTGTATCAATAACAAAGATTGTAACCTTTTTTATCTTAGACACACATGCGCCTAAGTATACAGTCCACTAGCTAATATACAGTCCACAACGTAGCGATAACAAATTTAACACTTAGTTTTATGATAAAATAATTGTATAAATACATGTACTAGAAATAAAATAAAGTTAGTAGTTTAAAATTACTGAAGGTGTGTGTACTTTAATTTGTTAAATGTACATTTTGGTCCTTCGAGACATAAAGTGAAATTGAGTACAGTACGATACAAGCGTGGACCGAGGCTTAAACATCGGTGCCATAAACTAAATATATAGTGCAGTGCTAAAAGATACAAGCGTGGACCGAGGCTTAAACATCGGTGCCATAAACTAAATATATAGTGCAGTGCTAAAAGATACAAGCGTGGGCCGAGGCTTAAACATCGGTGCCAAAATTTTAAATATAGTGCAAAAAGCATTGATCGAGATTTAAATATCGGTACGGTAAAAAGAAAATGGATCCATCAAAATTATTAGCTCTGCTAAAACAGCAAAAAGCAATATATGACGATGTTAAGAATATCGATAAGAATAGCAGCAAACGTGAGTTGCGTGCGAATACAATAAAAGAACGTTTAGATAAACTACAAGGATTATGGAATCAATTTAAAGATAATCACGAGAAAATACTCTTAACGGAGAATAAGGAAGACAAATATTTTAAAGAGGACTTTTACACTACAGTGCATCAAAAAGTGATTCAGGTGAAAACAATGCTCGAAGAAATAGTTGAAAGCAAAGATAGAAATGCAGAATCTGTTGAAAGCAAAAGTGTAGACGAGAAAATAACGGAAAGTCAAATTGAGAAAAATAAAATCAACAATCTAGTAGAGCAATATAACAATAACATCGCAAGGTTAAGACAGATGTTAGAAAATCTTGACCATTATGATACTGTCACGCGATTGGAACAACTTAATGGAATCTGGAAAAGAAAGTTCGAAGACATTAGAAGTATCTATAAGAAGCTGGTTATTGAAATGTCGTACAATGAAGTAAACATTATGAATGATTATGATGAGATTGAAGACCAATACGATAAGGCGTTAGATGAATTAGCCAATAAAATGGAAAAATTACGTGAGGGGAACAACGTTAAGCTTGACTGCATTAGAATCCCAAATTTCAACGGTAATATTGAAGAATGGTCGTCTTTTCATGATCTATATAAAAGGCTTATCCATGAGGATGGAAAAATTTCGAATGTTGAGAAAATGTATCGACTCAAAACATTAGTAAAAGGAGAAGCAAGCAAGCTGATACAACATCTACCGGTGTCGGAATTGAATTATGCTGTAGCTTGGGAGATTTTGTCGCAAAGGTACGAAAATGAAAGAATGTTGTTTACAATATTGGTCGATAAATTGCTCGATCAACCATCTGTATATAATGATTCAGCGTCAAGTTTGAAAAAGTTGCTTGACACATCGATAGAATGTATCCAGGGGCTGAAGGCAATGGGTATAAAAACGAATGAAGCAGATCCAATAATAGCAAGGATTATAATCAGGAAGTTGGATAAGGAAGGATTACGGCTATATGAGCAAAATATAAAAAGGACAAAGGAGATTCAAAAAATGGACGATGTATTACAGTTTCTGGAGCAGCAATACCAAGCAGTAGAGGCGATTAAATCTAAGAAACAAACTAATAATGTAAAGTCTTTTCAAAAAACAACAGCGACAACTATAGTAGCAAATGATTACCAGTGCTTTTACTGCAACAAAAAAGGACATATGGCAATAAAGTGTTATGAGTTTCTAAAGCTACAAGTCAAGGACAAAAATACATGGGTAAAAGACGCTAAAATTTGTCGCGTCTGTTTATCGCATAAAACTACAAAAAGATGCAATAGTAAGACAAAATGTCAAGATTGTGGGAAGTGGCATAATACTCTTTTGCACATTAATTCAGGGCAAAATAATAACACATCAACATTAACAATGAATACGGGCACAGCAGAAAATGTGTTACTTCCAACGGCGCAAGTGCGCGTAAAAAGTGTTCAAGGTGAGATGATTATGTTAAGGGTTCTAATTGACCAAGGGTCGCAAACTACAGCTGTATCAGAAGAAGCGGCACAAATATTAAATTTGCCAAGGAAAAAAGTAAAAATGGAGGTGCAAGGGCTTGGAGGAACATCGGTTGGCGTTGCAAAGGCAAAAATAAATCTTCAAATTCACCCACGATTCACCAGTAAATATAAAATAAATGCAGAAGCATTGATTTTACCATCATTGGTATCTTGTCAACCGGATAAAACCTTTAGCTATAATATAGATAAGTGGGAAAATATGACCTTGGCGGACCCAAATTTTAATAAATCCGATAGAATTGACATAATCATAGGAAGCGATCTTTACGGAGAAATTCTTGAAGGCGGTCTACTTAAAAAAGATAAAATATTGGCGCAATCAACAAAGTTCGGCTGGATATTATCAGGTATTTTACAAGCAAAAAGAAGCATTAAAGGATTCATCTCTTCCAACGTCGTCAACATAGAAAAGTTTTGGGAAATAGAAGAAATTCCAGAGGATGAAGATTCATCGGAAGACGGATATTGTATGAAAAATTATGCTGCGACAACTACCAAAAATGAAGATGGACGATTTATAGTTGAGTTACCTTTCAAAGAAGAACACCAACTTGGCGACTCATACAAAATGGCGATGGCACGATTCATAAATTTGGAAAGAAAATTACAGGCAAACCCATCATTAAAGAGAGAATATGTCGAATTCATGAAAGAGTATCTAGCTGATGGGCATATGAAAAAAGTAAGTTCAAAAAGACAGGGAAAATATTATCTACCTCACCAAGCAGTAGTAAGAGCGAATAGTATCACTACTAAGATGAGAGTAGTTTTTGATGCTTCGGCAAAGACCACGAATAAAAATAATTTAAATGATTTATTATATGTTGGCCCAAGGTTGCAAAGGGATATTTTTGATATATAGTTGAAGTTTCGGCTGAAAAAATTTGCCATAGTTGCTGACATAGAAAAAATGTATAGACAAATATGGGTGAGTAAAAATGATCAGAAATACCAAGATATTTTGTGGACAAGCGAGATTAATCAGCCAATTAAAGAATACAAGTTAACAACTGTAACTTACGGTATTGCCCCTGCTTCATTTTTAGCTATAAGAACGTTATTTGAAATAGCAAATGAATGTCAGGATAATCAGATATCGAAAATAATTAAAGACGATTTTTATATGGACGATCTTCTAACTGGCGGTGATACAAAAGAAGAGTGCAAAAGTGTTCGGCTAAGGATATCGGCACATTTGGAGAAGTATGGATTTCATTTGAGAAAATGGTGCTCTAACAGCATGGATATAATAGAAACGGTGGAAAAATCAAAAGACAATGAGGTCATTGATATAGATAAAGAAGAAAGTATAAAAACGCTTGGCTTGCAATGGAATCCTAACAATGATATATTCATGTTTAAGATAGCAGAAAGTAGAGACGTCTATATAACAAAAAGAATGGCATTATCGTATCTAGGTAAAATATTTGATCCATTAGGACTATTGGCTCCAGTTACAGTATTGGTTAAGTTATTTGTGCAGAAGCTCTGGATAAGTAATTTAGATTGGGATATGAAATTAAATGAAGAAATGATGAAAGAATGGAAAAACATTGTGCAGAACTTAGACGCAATACAAACAATCAGAATTGAGAGATGGGTAGGAGTTACCGGAAATGATGAAATATGCCTGGTGGGGTTCGCTGACGCATCGGAAAAGGCCTACGCAGCAATAGTGTACATAAAAACGCACGCAAAGGTGTCCATAATAGCAGCAAAAAGTAGGGTAAATCCTATAAAAAATAGAAAAACATTGCCGAAGCTTGAGCTGTGTGCAGCGCATCTATTAGCAAAATTATTAAATAAAATTCATAACATAATTAACAGAAAGATAAAAATGTATGCATGGAGTGATTCCACGATTACATTATGCTGGATAAAAAGCAATTCAAGCAAAAATAAATTTATTAGATCAAGAGTAATCGAAGATGACTATCGAAGATAGTCGAAATATCGGAAATAAAATATAAACGATTTTTAATATAAATAATAAATTAGTGTCTTTTTATTTATATTAAAATTTGACCAATTAGCCCGGTAACAAATTATTATAATAATAATTTTTGGTCACAAATATAAGTATTTAATATTTATCAAGAGTAAATGAAATAAGCTAGTTAATTCCAAGCGCCAATTGGTTTTATGTGAGATCAAAGGAAAATCCAGCAGACCTAGCATCCAGAGGAATTCAGCCGGAAAAGTTAGAGAACCAATCGTTATGGTGGAGAGGTCCAAACTGGTTAAACGATGATAGAATGACATGGCCAAAAGAACAAATGGCAGCTAAAATAATAAATATCAGTAAATTAAGAGAGGAAGACTTATTTAATCAGCTCATCGAGAAATATTCATCTTTTAGAAAATTAAGTAGAGTGGTAGTATATATTTTTCGTTTCATAGACAGACTGAGGAAGGCTAAGTCTCCAGAATATCTAGCTGTAGAGGAGTTTAGAAGAGCAGATGCAGCTATTTTTAGAAGTCATCAGACAACACAATTTTTTACGGATATAAGCAGATTGAAAAATAGCTGTGAAATAGATCATCGAAGCAAAATGGCAAATTTGAATCCGTTTTTAGACAAAAACCAAGTTTTGAGAGTTGGAGGTCGATTAATCAATGCAAAAATTGGTTTTGATAAAAAGCATCCAATAATTATAGCAAAAGGTCATTTGGCGAATTTGATAATAAATGAAGCGCACCGAGAAACATTACATGGTGGACATCGATTGATGGAAAATGTTATAAAAAGAAGATATTGGATATTTGGACTTAAAAACTTGATTAAAAAGTGTATACGTGAATGTGTAAGGTGCCGTTATAAAGCATTAAAGCAGAAGCAGCTTATGGGTGATTTACCAGAATATAGGGTCAATGTGTCTGCTCCGTTCGCTCATTGTGGAGTAGATTACGCTGGACCATTGCCAATTAAATGTTCTAAAGGGCTAGGCCAAAAAACTTTTAAAGGGTACGTAGCGGTATTTGTATGTATGGCAACTAAAGCTTTGCACTTAGAGTTGGTAAGTGACATGACATCAGACTCATTTCTGGCGGCGCTGAAGCGATTGTTTGCACGCAGAGGCAAATGTTCACATATATACTCAGACAATGGTACCAACTTCGTTGGAGCATCCAAAAAATTAGATAAGGATTTACAACAGGCTATTAAAAGCAATGTGAGTGCAGTTTGTGCATTGGAAGCAGAAGGTATAAAATGGCATTTCATTCCACCGGCAGGTCCTCATTTTGGAGGGTTATGGGAGTCGGCCGTGAAGTCAATAAAACACCACTTGAAAAGAGTTGTTGGCGAAAATAAACTTACTTATGAGGAGTTAAGCACACTTCTAACCCAAATTGAGGGCATACTTAATTCACGACCGCTTTGTGCAAATGTTGACGACAATGATATATTAACTCCAGGTCATTTTTTAATTGGGCATGCTATCATTGACTATCCAGAAGCAGTAGATGATATGAACATATCTTCATTAAATCGTTGAAAGATAATTCAAGCAATGAAGAAACATTTTTGGAAACGATGGAAGGAAGAATATTTAACGAATCTTCAGCAGAGGTACAAATGGAAAAATGTTCAAGCAAATGTTAAGGAAGGCCAAGTGGTAATAGTGAAGAATGAGGAAACATATCCAGGAAGATGGCTTCTTGGAAAGATAATTGAGGTTCATCCTGGAAAAGATAATCTGGTGAGAGTAGTATCGGTAAAAACTCAGAATGGCACAATAAAACGTCCGATTCAGAAATTATGTGTATTGGAAGGCGTACACGAACAAATACATGTTGCTGAGAATAAGAAGATAAATGTTATTAAACGAAAAGATTTGAAAAAAGAAAAATCTGTTAATTTAATGTTACTTTTATTGCTAATGATTTTAATTCCATCTAGAGTAGCGTCGGAAGCAATTAAAGGAGGAAAAGTGAATGAGATAGACAAAGACACGGTGGTTTATTTGGACGAAATTGGATCTATGAACGTGGTATCATCATCATGGAAGCTGTTAATATGTTTTGATTTGGAGCCCTTTTTCGAAATAATTGATAAAGGAGGTACAACTATATTGGAAAATGAGAAAATTTGTTCTAAACTGCAAACATTTGAAAACCATTGTGTGGCAATTATAGAAGACATGAGACAGCAAATAAAGCAGATGCAGGACACAAATAAATATTTGCTTCAATATAAAAATCAAAGAACGAGAAGAGCGCCATTTGAGTTCATCGGGTCACTGCAGCACATATTGTTTGGTACAATGGATGCAGAAGATAGAAAAATGTTCGAAGAAGACATGATGAGATTACTAGAAAATCAGCATGATATCAAGAATCTGATAAATAAGCAAACTTCGGTAGTAGATTCTACGGTGAATTTGCTAAAAAGAACCACCACGGAGATAAATAATAATTTTAAACAAATGCAAGATAGGCTCAACATCTTGTCGTCGGCAATGCAGGAATCATATTTGGTATATCGGGAGTCAATTAAGTTTTTCATGGTAACAAAAGAGCTGCAGGGAATAATTGAAGAAAGCAGAAATGTTCAAACAGAAATAATAGAGCTGTTGACGAATCAACAAAAAATTAAGAACTAGGTCATGAGTTAATCGCTCACACCTGTTGCTTAATTTCTTGGTTGACGAATCAACAAAAAGTAAAAATTAGGTCATAAGTAAAGCATTCGCAACTATTGCTTATTAAGCAATTTGTGCGAATTAAGTAATAAGCTATTTTATTTATTGTATGTTTTGCAATTACGGTTGCATTTTATTTTGTATAAAAGAACAAATCAATTTAAATAAAATCAGTTGTTGAAAGTAAATCAACGTCTCACCAATCTTTTATTGTTTTCCCCCACCAGTGGTAAGGGACATAAAGATTGTTAATGAACATTCTTGTTCATTTTTGGTCCTTCGAGCCGGATATTTGAAATTTCCCCCACCAGTGGTAAGAGTTTCAAATATACCTAACAAAGAGACTTAAAGTCTAAGATTGAAGTTAATACAAACGTACCGAGGCTTTTAACATCGGAGTGAAGTTAATACAAGCGTACCGAGGCTTTTAACATCGGAGTGAAGTTAATACAAGCGTACCGAGGCTTTTAACATCGGAGTAAAGTTAATACAAGCGTACCGAGGCTTTTAACATCGGAGTGAAGTTAATACAAGCGTACCGAGGCTTTTAACATCGGAGTGAAGTTAATACAAGCGTACCGAGGCTTTTAACATCGGAGTGAAGTTAATACAAGCGTACCGAAGCTTTTAAAATCGGAGTGAAGTGAATGCAAACGTACCATCGAAGTGAAACAAGCAGAAGCGTACCGAGGCGCTCAACAAATGGAGATCGAAGAGATAGATCAAGTTATCCAACATCAAAAGGACATTGAAGGTGAGATCCAGAGGATCTGGATAAATTTTAAAAAGGATTCTTCTACATTCTTAGAAGAATTAGTTGGGATACAGAGATCCCACCCAATCTACAGGCACAATGGGAAGAATTTAAATTGAGATTACCTGCAGTTCAGAAAATAACCATGAAAAGATGGACACAACATTCAGAGAATAGTTTAATCGAGTTACATGGATTTGCAGATGCGTCAGAAGCAGGATATGCTGCAGTTGTATATACAAAGGTTATCAATGCAGAAAAGGTTACAATATCCCTAGTAGCATCAAAAACCAAAGTTGCGCCTATTAAGCAGGTATCATTAGCCCGAGTAGAGTTATGCGCAGCTGTGCTATTGATAAAGTTGATTAATTACATTCAGAAGAATAACAAGATTACCTATAGTAAAGTTATTGCATGGTCAGATTCAAAAATTGTATTAAATTGGCTAAGGCAATACCCAAATAGATGGACTACGTTTGTAGCAAACAGAGTATCGTATATTCAGGATACGTTTAAAGGGCAATTTAGATTTGTTCCAGGAAAAGATAATCCAGCAGATATTCCATCAAGGGGAGTATATGGTGACAATCTTATTTCAAATACATTATGGTGGCATGGTCCAAATTGGCTAATAAAAGATGAAGGAAATTGGCCAGAAAATGATGAAGTAATAGATTTGAATCTAATTCCGGAAACCAGAAAAACTGCAATATGTACCGTCGTGGACGTTACCAAAGATGAAAATATTATTAATCGATTTTCTTCATTAAACAAACTTCTTCGAGTGACAGCTTATTGTCTTAGATTCGTTTATAATTGTCATAAAAAGATAAAAAATCCGAAAGAAAGATCTACAATCTGTCGGCAGACGATATCGATGCAGCAGAAATTGTGTTGGTGAAGCAGGCACAAAAATGTTTTTCAGATGACATCAGACGGCTTAATCTTCAGAAACAATTAATGAAAAGTAATAAGTTGTGTTCATTAAACCCATTTGTTGACAGTGCAGGAGTACTAAGAGTGGGCAGCAGATTAAGAAATGCAGATTTATCTGACAACCAAAAGTATCCAATAATTTTACATACAACGAGTACTTTGGCCAAACTCAGAATCAATCAGGCGCATATTAATATGATTCATGAAGGATTAAAACTGACGCTAAACTACGTTCGGGAAAAATTTTGGATTATTCGTGGAACAAGCGCTGTGAAAGCTTACATCAATAAATGTTTAAAATGTTTTCGAATAAAGGCAAAAGGACAATCTCAATTAATGGGAAGTTTACCAACACCAAGAGTAAATTTCTCGAGGCCATTCACACACTGCGGCATAGACTATGCAGGGCCATTATACATTAAATGCTCGCAATTCAGGGGAATTAAAACACATAAGGCATATATAGCTATTTTTGTATGTCTGGCAACAAAGGCAATTCACATTGAGTTAACTTCAGATCTGACATCTCAAGGATTTTTAGCAGCACTCAAACGAATGATAAGCAGACGTGGCTCAGTACATCATATTTATAGCGACAATGGTACCAATTTTACAGGTGCAAACAACATTTTACAGAAGATTCAAATAGAGAATCATCTAGCTGAAACAGGTATACGTTGGCATTTCATCCCTCCTGGCTCACCTCCCTTTGGTGGTCTCTGGGAATCGGGAGTAAAATCCATTAAATATCATCTAGCTAGAATTATAGGTGACCAAAAATTGACATACGAGGAATTAAGTACGGTCTTAATTCAAATCGAATGTTGTCTTAATTCACGGCCACTCTGTCCATTAACAGACAACATTGAAGATCTTAATGCACTTACACCAGGACATTTCATTGTGGGATCGTCATTAATGACTCTTCTACCAATCACTGATAATGTAAAAGAAGGTCATATTCCGTCAAACCAGAAGAAGTTCCCAAAATTATTTAAAGAAGTAACATTAATCAAAGCAGAACCAGACACTCAAAATATGTTACCATTTGGAAACACTATCAGAAATAAAGAAGTAGTTTCGACAAAGTCTACTGCAGGAGATTAGCAACATTAGCAACATTAGCAACACCCACTGTAACATATCCCGAATCAGGATTATTCATTGAAGGATTAGGTAAAGCAAAACAAAGAGAAACACTTAGAACCACTATCACATTTCCAATCCGTCACATAATTCAAGATCAAAGGAACGTTAATAACACCATAAAACAATCAACAATGTTGTGTATCAAGTCAAAGGCTGTCAATCCTTATATACAATGTGACGATTTAGTTTCCAATTTAAGTCATGAAGGGCGCACCTTAAGAACAACCATTGATCGATTGTTGACGGCAGAATCATCAGTTACAAGAAGTCCCCGAGGAATATTAGGTACAGTGTCAACAACACTTTTTAGTGTAAACGATGAAGTGTATCACGACATTGAAACGCTAGATCAAAATCAGAAATTATTGATCCAAAATACTAAATCAAATGCTAGAATCATGATATCCACAATAGCGGCAGTAAACAACACAGAAACTAAAATCGTCAACAAAATCAACAGCTTTAGTAAAAGACTAAACGAAGGATTGCAGGCTATCAGTCAGATGCAAGGTTGGCATGATATCGGAGAAGGAAATAAACTGAATATATATGTACTTAATTCATATATAATGGCATCCAATTACATTCGAGAAGTAGAATCAAAATATAATAAGATCTTCAATGTATATTTAAAACGCAGTCATATTTATGAATTCCTTTCGCATGATGAAATCAATGATATTATAACTCGATGTTCCTCAAAAATTGGACCAGAAATGTATGTCTTACCAATTCCGATGAACAGATTGGAATATGTTCGGGATACTGACAACGTCATAATTTATGGTTATTTCACAATCAGCGATATAGAAGAATATGAAATCATTAGATTCAACACGATTCCAGAAAGAAATCGAATTGTTAACATCCACATTTGGCATCAATTATAGCAGTAAAATATTTATTTTGACGTTACTATCAGCCAAATGGAGACTGCAACCAAGCTGAATAATGGTACTAGGTTCATCCAACAATATTTTACAACATTGACGAGAGTTCCAATTGTGTAATTAAGCAATTGTATAATAAATTAACATTCGATAACTGTCCGTCAAAAAGATTTCAAGTTATACAACCAGTTTGGAAAGAGCTTTGGACGCCCAATGCTTGGATATTCATTACACCAAATTTAACGACAATTCATGTAATTTGTCATATTGAACGTGAAGAAGTAGTTCTGAATTATACGGGAATCATTCATATCTCTCCAGATTGTGTAATACATTCTAAGACTATTCAACTGGAAGGAAGAATGATGAACATTTCAATACGTGACAGTAGAATGCATAAAATTACAATTGAAACCGTTATCCCATTGGTGCAAGATTTATCAACTATGCTTTTGTACTCCGCAAGGGATGCTCAAGACAACATGGACCAAGTCGATGAAATATCTTGGAAAACAATAATGACTCATCAATATTGGAAGAAATGGGTCATCGGGGCTACAGCTATAATAATAATCATATTCGTTGGAGTATTATATTACATGTGTTACATTAAACCGAGAATACCATCAACATCAGCCAATAATCATACATCACCGTCCACTTACGATGTTGCTTGGTCTTGCACATAAACAACAACCTGCTGAGGCTACCAAATCTAGACCAACTCGTAATACCAACGCAGAGCCGGCATAATGTTGACGAATCAACAAAAAATTAAGAACTAGATCATGAGTTAATCGCTCACACCTGTTGCTTAATTTCTTGGTTGACGAATCAACAAAAAGTAAAAATTAGGTCATAAGTAAAGCATTCGCAACTATTGCTTATTAAGCAATTTGTGCGAATTAAGTAATAAGCTATTTTATTTATTGTATGTTTTGCAATTACGGTTGCAGTTTATTTTGTATAAAAAAACAAATCAATTTAAATAAAATCAGTTGTTGAAAGTAAATCAACGTCTCACCAATCTTTTATTGTTTCCCCCCACCAGTGGTAAGGGACATAAAGATTGTTAATGAACATTCTTGTTCAAGAGCTTTTAATTGACATAAATCATGGGAAATTGAATCCTTCGTTGATAACTCCTACTCAACTGTATGAAGAAGTTAGGAGCATCAAAGAACATCTTCCAAATAAATTAAGGCTGCCAGGAAATAGCGATAATCAGTTGCAAGTTATTTATAAGCTTTTATCGGCAATAGGAACAATAATGGATAAGAAACTAATCATAAAGGCAGAAATACCATTATTTGACACACAAGAATCAAACCTATACAAAGTAATTCCGATGCCTATGGAAAAGCATGGGATAATTTTGAGTCCAATGATACAAAAGCAGTTTCTTATATATAATTTCGAAATGGACTCATACCATTTGATGACGGAAACACAGCTCAACTTATGCAAACACGTCACAGAAGCGGAGTATGTTTGTGAAGGTAATTGGCCATGGCTAGATGACTCGTCGTGTGAGATTTCACCATTGAAGCCTTTAAACGCTTATAAATGTACATACATTGAAGCGGAATCATCTCTATATTGGGTAAAACTAAATAATGCAAATAATTGGTTATTTAAAACATTTAAACCAACATCAGCACATATCCAGTGTAATCAAAATCGGCAATTTATTTTAGAACTTCCACAACAGGGAAGAATATCATTGCAACCAGGATGTACAATAAGAATTGAAGGTGTTACAATAAAATCACCATTTAATATAAACTCTAATTCGAAAAAGGAAATACCAGCCACATTGACAGCGAAGATAGGGAACACTACTAGAATTCGTTTTCCACCATTAAATTTATTAATATCCAATCACACAAATGAACTGCAAGAGCTTCAGAGTCAAATCAAAGTCATAAAAGAAGAGAATATTAAATTACGTGAAATTAAATATCATCAAATAGCAAGTCATACATCTCTTTTCTTAGTAACAATTTTGATAATAGGTATAGTGATATATTTTATAAAAAGGAAGCATACGGAACGCGCAATTGCTCGATTGGACATTTTTAACAAGGAGAATCTGTAATATGACCAGACCAATGAACGCTAAATAATCAAACGAGATTGGAATGTAGAAATAGGCCGCTGGCAGAATGTTCAAACATAAACACATTTTATAGTTTATTTTTAAGATTTATTATTATTTTAGAAGATAAGTTTTTAATCTGTATATGTAAGCAAAAATGTTATCCGCTAAATACTATTTGTAAAGGACTGTATTAATTATTTGAATATTCCAGAAAATTTCTATTGTTTACTTAAATGCTTTAAAGATAAAATTTTATTGTTTTTCAATGTTTAATGATTATAGCACAAGCTGTGCACAAATGTAAAATGATAACGCGCATGTGTATCAATAACAAAGATTGTAACCTTTTTTATCTTAGACACACATGCGCCTAAGTATACAGTCCACTAGCTAATATACAGTCCACAACGTAGCGATAACAAATTTAACACTTAGTTTTATGATAAAATAATTGTATAAATACATGTACTAGAAATAAAATAAAGTTAGTAGTTTAAAATTACTGAAAGTGTGTGTACTTTAATTTGTTAAATGTACACAAGTATATCAGGATGTTAGATAGTTATTATTATTATTATTATTATTATGTATGAGATATAGGATTATATAGTGTCATTATTGTAAAGGTAAGTTAGGTTATTTACTTATAGATTTATGTATTTAATTATGATTTTATTTGATTAATTTAGTTAGTTATGTATTTATTTAATTATTTAATTAGTTAATTATTCAGTTAATTATTTATTTATTATTATTATTATCATTATTTATTATTTTGTTTATTTATTTATATATATATATATATATTTGTTTATTTAATATTTATGTATGTGATTGCTTGTTATTTATTTACTTGGTAATGGTAATGGTAGTCGTGGTTTTTGTGTTGTATCTGGTTTTTATATATTGTGTTTATATCGAAGTTGGGACCTTTGTATTTTTGTGGTTATAGATGAGTTCTTGAGGGAATCAACTTCTAACAGTCATTGGGATTATATAGATGATAGGGAGGTATGATATAATTAAGAGTAATCTGATAACATCTATGGTCGACTTTGGAATGATCTTAGTTCTTGTCGAACCTTAATTTTTTGAAATATAATGGTTTTAACTAAATGAAACCACAGTTTTTATTTTTATTTTAGTACACAGTATTTATTGAATAGACTAACATAAGTATGAATTAGAGATACATCCTTAAATTTATGATATATTCACAATACTTGATAATATACTTAATAATATACTTAATGATATACTTAGATTTATATAATTAATGATATACATTGACTAAAAGTTTTGATATGCAATTGGATAGATCTTTGGAGAGGAAGGTATCGCTGGTGCGGTATAATATGCGTCTTAAATGAGATGTAATTACTGAGCGTTTATTCTGAATTGAGGTATGTGATGAATAATGGGTAAGACGGAGTGATTCAGTGGGCTTATGGTAGAGACTAATTAAGAATCCATTAAAACAATGGAATATGCGATAATCGAGATAATAGACGCAGGGGAGAGGGCCGTAGCCTATTTCTGGTTGTTCTAAAGTATATGACACATCGTAGCCGGAACATAGAGAAAAGGAATCCATAAAACTGCAAACGGTGACAGAGGGCATATATAGGAGGATGTCATCTATATACTTCCACCAAGTTAGCACGCTATGAGATGAGAATAATTGACTGTAATGGAGCTCTAACATTGAATCTAAGAAAATAGTTGCGAGTAAACCAGAAGACCCCCCACCTTGGGGCAGACCCTGGATTTGGTGGAATAAGTTACCGTTGAATGTGAAAAGACTAGCTTTATGTAAAAGAAAATCAAGGAGAGAACGCAACATGCCAACTTCAATAGGACAAGCCTGTTTGAACCAGTCTTCATTCATGAAGTATTGTAAGAGTTCCCATAAGCGTGTAACTCGGGTATTTGGGTACATATCTTTTATGTCCATAGTAACAAGGGTATAACCAGGACGTGGGCGGAGCTGTAATATATGAACAGTCAAGTGATCGGGGTTTATTAAATTGTGGCAAGAGAGCTTATCTTGGAAAGTGATAGTGAGGAAATAGAGGCATAGTTGATGGATGGGATAGGACTGCAAATAGGACGAATCGGATGGTCAGGTTTATGGGTCTTGATTGTGGCGTAGAGATAGGGCATGGTTGGTAAAGCAAATAATAATTTTTTGAGACTGGCAGAAGTAATCTGGACACAAAACCCAGTGGTGAGATAATTCTGAAGCCACGTATTAATTTTGTCAATGTAAGATGTTTTATAGATTAGTATTGTAGCCTTGCACTTATCGGATTGCACTAGTAGTATGTCGCCATGTGTTTTTAAGAATTCTTGAGTGGTATTGAAAAGGCGTTGTAGCATGGAGTGGAAGGGAGTAGGGTTCTGGTGGTTACGCATAGCGACTAGGAATTTGTTGAAGTGCTCGTCCATTATTGACTTACAATAAAGGCCAAGGTCGATATGAGATTCCAGATAATAAGAGTGATAGCGGTTTAAAGCTACGGAATAATCGTTGATGGTAGGGGGTGTAACGGGGCAGTATTTAGGACCAAAACTAAAATACGGGATTCTAAAGGGACAGTAAGTGAGGTGAGGTTGATAAAACCTCCAGGGATGGCGCGAGGGAATAAGGAAGGGTGGAAATTGATATGTGGAATATTTGAAAAAAGCCGGGGAGTGAGGGATGGGGGGGAATTCCCCATGAACGCCCATATGTCAGTTGAAGATCGATGTGGAATGGATGCTGAGCGCGGTGAAGGAGAGCGTGGTGGTGCGAGCACGGACAAACCAGTGGCTGTGTTAGAGGATATAATAGTAGTTGTATGAATAGTGTTAGTGGTTGTTGTTGTGGTGCGAGTGTAAGAGGTAGCTTGCTCTGTAGACTGTTGTACTGTAGATGGCAGGGTTGCGGCGTTGTGGACTGATTGGTGTTGAACTGATGGAGATACAAGATTTGGGTGCGAAGAAATCGTGGGTGGTGAGCTGACATAGGTAAGCTGAGATATATTAGGTGATGAGCAGTAAGAGCAGATAACCAGAAACTATAATGAAGAACATTTTGTGGATAAATGAATAGAATGGGTGGAAAATATACGAGCGGTAATAAGATAAAATTAGTGATAATAATTATATATAGAAGTTGTAATATTTATGGTTAATGACATGAATAGTGATAATAATGTAATTAGTTGAAAATGTAAGAATGAATAGTAGAGGATTGTGAATTGTGTTAGGAGAGATAAGGAGTAAGAATATAGAATAAGCATAATCAATATAATAAACTATAGGGTGGATATATTAAGCGATTATATAGTAAGAGACAAATAGTAGATAAAAGTAAGAGTAATAATGAATATAGGTAAAAGGTTAGAAATGGATGAAACAATGTGTATGTATGTTATGAAGGACAGAACTAGGAGCATATAATTTAAAGTTAAGTGCATAATGTAAGATAATATTTAATAGGTTGAATGAATAGAAGGTTGTAATGATAATGGGTATTGTAAATTGTAGAACAAATAATAATGAATATTAGTAATGGGGAATGTATTATAGAGTTTGTTAAGTAAGTGTAAGATATAAAAGTAAGAATGGATAGATCCCATAATAGGGGTGGAAAAGGATGAGTAAAAATATGAAGTAAAAATATGAAGTAAATTAAATAAATATAAATAAGATGGATAGGGTGAAGGTTAATAATAAATATGATGGATTAATTAAGTTATAGGAAGTAAATAGGATAATTATAGGTAAAAATATGTAGCCTACTAATTTAAGATGGAATGGATGAGAGACAATAAATTACATATTAGGGATAAATAACAGTTGTAATATAAATAGATGTGGATAATATTAAATATTAAGGGCTATACGTTAGATAAGGAAGAGTTGATATTGGAATGGAATGTTGAGTATGGAGTAGTAATAATATAATGAATTAATTAGTTATAAAGAAAGGGAGTAGTATAGGTAAGATGAGAATAAGAAACTTATAAGTTTAAGATGGAATTGGAGAGATTACTATTACGAAAAAGAATAACATTTAAAAAAAAAAAAAAAAAAAAATACAATTAAATATTAAATATTAGATACAAGATATTCAGTAATAGTGTATATTGAATATTGAATTTGAATATTTAGAGATATGAATATAAACATAATGTATATAGTAAGGTGATATAATGATCAATTGATGTAGATGGAAGGTAAGAATAATGAATTATAAATATAATATAGATATATGCAAGCAATTTACGGAATTTTGAGATATAATTTGAGTTAAAGAAATGTGCAAGACTAGATTTTATATAGAGAGAATAACAACATTTATAATGTAATAATGTAAAGAGTATAATTTAGTAGATAGGGATATATAGTAAGACAATTAATTCATTAGGATAAGGGTAATAAGTATAGAGATATGCATGTAATTTGCAAAATTTTTGATAAGTATACTAGGTCATAATATGCAAACTAAGGAACAATAACGCTTTGGAATATGGGTATAATATGGATAAATAGATGAATATAATGAATTATTAATTAAACTGTTAGATAAATATAGATATAGCAGAGAATTAAACAAAGGGAGGATGAGTGATCCAACCAGTTAGAAATGTATTGAGTAATAGTGGTAGTATAGGAATAAGAATGAGGGAGTTGGAAGCTAAATGAGGAGATTTATATGAATAAAATGAATTGTGAATTGAGTTTGATGAATGAAAGGTATATGGGTAAGGTTGGATTGAATAGTAGATATTTACATGGTAATTGTAATAATGGCAAGGCAGTAAAAGGATGAGCTTGATGGCCATGTATTTGAGAGCCTGTAGCTGGTGATGTGGGTGCTGTGGTGGTGCAGATGGCACGGTTGATGGGTATAGAGGTGTCCAGCGAAAGTGTATTGCCAAATGCGTGTTGATAGGCAGACAAAAGCTCCTCGTCGGTGAAACTGGGATCCATTATGAATGTGCAATAGA